TCAAGTCATATTCAATATTTTAAAGAGTTTTAATGTTAAATAATCTAATGTTTTAGCCTCTGGGCAGCGTTCAGTTTGTCACTTACTGCCAAGATCGACTCAAAACCTTCCACAGTCCACCAGTCGATTGCGATTGGTTACACACTGATTTCTAGTCAATGTGGCACACAATATGGAAGCTATTGAAGAAAACATTAGATGTGTAATAACAACCCAGTGAAAGAATAATAACGGGCTAAGGTTTCATATAAGTAGGGTTTTTGTAAAGAGCTTCAACTTTTCAGATGTAACGTAGTTTTATTGCAGCAGAAGTTTTCTGGGGGCCACCTTGGAATATGAAATATTAGAGCAGTTCAGGTGAATATTATTTTTCTGATTCATGGATTACATGTTTCATTCTCAGAAGGTTTTTCTTCTAGAACAATCACTTGTGGTGCACTGCCTTCAACCTCTATTTCCCACACTATTAATAATCAACGTACTGTAAATAACCACCCAATAACAAATGTAGCAACAGTTTAAAGATTCATCCCATTAACTGCTATAACATTTTCAAACTGGAGATAAAAGTTGATTTTGGCCACCTTGAAGTGGATGTTAAGATACAGCTAATCTGGATTTAAACAAAATGAGGATGCCAAGAGCTTTAGCAACAGCAGGTAAGTCGCTAAATATGTAAAATAATTCAGCAGAACCTCACCAAATTATCTCTTCAAGTGCAAGATTACTAAATAAGAACAACAAACACAGCTTTACATCCTGTGTTTAAGAGGTATTGAACATAGTTTAATTATGAATCTGAAGATGCTTCAGTTTGGCAAGATGCAAAATAATAAGCTTACAGGTTAAACTCACAATCTTCAGGTTGACATTTCAGAATTTAGTCAGTGTTCGGCTGAGTATTTGAACAAGGCCCTGAAAGCCACAGTTGGTGATGGTAAACTGCCGTGATGTAGCGATGACAAGGAGCTAAAGAAAACTTCACTCACAGCTTACTGACGTGGAGACTGAACAAACATGAGATCTAAGAGCATCTTGTGTTTTTCCCCTGTGAGCTGCTACAAGTGTCCTGCATGTAGCTTTTAAAATTTTAAAGCCTCTGTGTGCTTGTTTATGTCCCCGTCCATCTCGTCTGCAACAGGAAACCGCAGCTGGAACACCTGAGGCCTGACTGAGCTCCAGAGGAGAGACACAAACTCTCATTACGTTGTTCCGTCCCTTAACACTGCTTCCTGCACACGTCGTTGTGCGATTTAGACCCTGAAGATTAAGTCGAGCATTCACAAGTGAATGCCGTCTCATATTTACACGATTACATTCATATATACGTTTTTTTTTTTTTTTTTTTTAGCCAGAGTCAGTTGGAACATACACAGTATTAAAGTAGTAAGATTACCCTGCTCTATCTGATGTATAAATGTTCAGGCAAGTCGTAGCATGGAGATGTCGATACTTGACAAACCACAACAACTTATATTGCACATTTTCTAATGTTCACACAAACTGCTTCACCATAAGTAATAGTACAGTTAAAGCTTCGTGTGCTCAGTATCTTACTAAGATAAGCACGTAAATAGACATTGCAGGCTTCTCAGTACGCTGCCTGCACTGTTATGCGCATGTATGCTGTTCCTGAGGACGAACAATCTTCCACAGACCCACGTTGCAAATTGCAAGAGCTTTGCGGCGACTTGCTGTGATCCGTTCTCTTCAAACTACATTCATATGAGGAGAGAGCCACCGCTTTTGCACAAGAGGTTATTTCTTTAGCCATCCATCGCCCTCCTTCGCTCAGGCTACGCTCTGCTCGACAAAAGGGGGAAGTTTGTAAGTTTTCTGAGATGTTATAATCTTCTGCTCGTCCTGGAGCTCCAGCGGAGGCGGCTGCAGCTCCAGCGAAGGATACGATTTAAAGACGCCCTCGTGAGCGGGCTGCGGCGACGCGGCCGGTTTTGGCTCCACGTTGGGCGTGTCTTTTCTGTCACTTTGCTGGAAGTCCAACGCCAGCGTCTCCTTGCAGCAGAAGTACTGCTGCCATATTTTCTGAAATGCAGTGCGAAACTTTTTGATGCGGAAAGCGTAGACGATTGGGTTGACAGCGGAGTTGCCGTGAGTGAGCAGGATGGCGATGTAGAGCAGAACCATCGGCTTGTCGCACTTGGGACAGAACAACGTGATGCAGTTGATGACATGAAGGGGGAGCCAGCTGATGGCGAACAGAACAAACACCAGGACAAGAGATTTCGCGAGATTCAACTCTTTGTTGTAGTACTTGTTGGGGTCTGAGAAGCTGGAGGTGATTTTCTTGTTGTTCAGCTGCTTGTGGATCATGTAAAAGATCTCCACGTAGATGACCAGCATGAACACCAGAGGCGGCAGCACGCAGCCGAAGAAGTTGAAGTAAACCATGTACTTCATACTGATGACGGTCTCAAACCCGCAGGTGACGATGAGGTCCGGGCCGATCGTGCCGTTTTCCTGGAGGTGCTTTAGATTGTTCCACCCTAACATGGGCGTCAGGCCCACGACGAACGCCAGTGTCCAGCACATCACCACAGCCAGGCCGGCCCGCCGGGACGTCACCACCCGCTTGTACCTGCAGGAAGAACCATGAATACGTCAAAATGTCTTCACTGTTGGAACATGCATGTTTTCTTTCACAAACCGTAACAGTTGATGTATATATTTTTTTTAATTTAGCAATCGTATTTTCTTGTGTTGGTTGAACATCATATTTGACATTTGTTGAAATTTTTGCTATCTTTATTTTTTATGTACAACCAGAATAAGTTTTATTTCATTGTCCTTGAGTTGAATACTTTAAACCCTAAGCTGATGGGTTGCAGCTCATTGCAGTGCAAATTGGACATGCGCCCCTGAAAATAACATCAGCACACTTTATACTCAGTTTTTCATATATGATTCTTAACTTTGTAACTTAATTTTGCAGATGCATTATTTGGCCCACCAGACTTCACATTTCTGCTGCAGATTTATATCTTCTAAATAACTTATTGTAAAGGATTAATGGTGAGAGACTGATCGAGGTAAAAGATTCAGGGTCTCTGAAATGTTATTATTCCTCTCTCATCTACAGAGAAATGAAACAGATGCAGCCTAAAGGCACACATGTAAACATTTATCTGATCCACCTCGATGCTAGAAAGCATGCAGCGCGGTAATTAGATCATGTCTAGATTACCATTGGTTGATATTTACAGAGTATGATGAGAAAATGTTTGGATCATCACAAGCTGACCTTTGCTAAAAAGGGAGCCTGGAGCTAAACCGGACCTCCCTTTTTAGCCCGACTGTCACTGGTGACATGCAGTGTGTCTAGTACTGATTAGGGGGCAGATGTGTTGAGATGCAGCGGTACAGAGACGCATGGACCAGTCTGTTTGCTCCCTAGAGAAGAAAAACAGCATCAAAAAGCACCTTTTGTTTCATTGTTCTGATGGAGCAAAAGACTTAAATGGTTTGAAGATTTTAGTATGCTATCAGTGAAAGCTTGGCTGTCCTGTTCACTCTTTTTCTTTGAAGCTTTTTTAAGCATATTTCTAGAGTTTGGAAATGGAAACTGGCATGTCTGTCACAAGCTACAAGCATCAGCACAGCTAAAAAGGAAACATTGCGGAAACTGTGATATATACCCAATAATTGTGGCGTATCTGTGAATTAGTCTCTTTTCTTTTGTTAGAAAAAGTATGGAAGATGATGAACATCCCTGAAAATTGCTGATTTATTCCACTTGAACCACAATTAAAAGGACTTTGGATTGCTGAAAGCAATAAGACGCCAACAGCTAAAGGTTTTCCAAGAGTGTCGTAATGAGCCACAAGCTATTATCTGTGGTGACAAGGAATAATAAATTACAACGTTTAGTTGATACTGGGATGTCTCATCAGCTCCTAGTCGTTATCCTGGTCTGCTCTAGTTCTGTCATTAAAATCACATCCATCCAGACCTTACAAAAAATTCACACCCTTTAACTTTTCTACAGTTTCTGACATTACATACAATACTGCACATCAACATGTAAATAGCCCTTTTATGATACTCCTGAATAATATCCAATTTCAAGTTCAGTTTTCAATTTCTTAAAGAAGTCACCTGGTAAATACAATAATCAGAGTATGTGTGTTTGTCAGTGTAAATCTGTTCTGTGTTGTTAGAAAACAGCAGCGACATAAACATGAAGGAACACAGCAGCCAGGTCAAGGATAAAGTTGTGACGATGTTTAAAGCAGAATTTGGCTATAAAACAATTGGCAAAACTCTAAGCCTACGAAGAGATGGATGTCCATCTTGAACACATTATCCCTACCACACAGAGAGACTGCAGCATCAAGTTGCTTTTCTGTAGCAGGGAAACCAGTAAGGGTTGATGGGATGATGAATGGATCTATGGAAGAAAACATGTTTCTGTTCTGGTAAATTCCTTAGATCAACACTGTCTGGCTGGAAAAGAAAAACTTTAATTAAAGAAGCAGCCAAGAGGCTAATGGTAACTCTGCAGAAGAAGTTCCACTTGCAGTTTATCAAATATCAAGTAGGATAAAGAGCAAACGTGTGCAAGAAAAAAAAAAACTGCGGTCAGATAAAGTGAAACTATAAGTTTTTGATAAACTATTTGTGGCAAAAAAGAGCAATATTTGCCATCACGCTGGTCATATTGTCCACACAATGGTGGCAGCATGATGGAAGCTGGTCAGGTTTATTAGGAAGATAGGTGAAGCTAACAGTAGGCAATCAGGAAAACTTAAAAGTGGTTCAAAAACCTGAGGCTAAAATCTTCCAGCAGAGGGGTCGCAAAGTCCAGTCCTTATGACCAGCCATCTTGCAGCTTTTAGATACCTTTCTTTTCTCAACACACCTGAATAAAATGCCTGAATTCTCTCATCAGCAGTGATTCAGTTCTGCAGAGGCCTGGTAACGAGGCATTCATTGGATTCAGCTGTAAAGGCTGCAGGACAGCAGCTCTCAAGGATCAATCTAGCAAGACAAAAAGCCTCAAACACAAAGCCAGAGAGGCATTGTAATCCATGTGTTACAATGGCCCAGTCAAAGTCCAGACTGTATTCAGTTGTCTGCGTCAAAGCTTTTAGGCAAAGAAGAGTAGGCAAAAAAACAAAAAAAAAAAAAAAAACAAAAAAAAAACACCTTGATATCCAACAGCAGTGTGTATATATATATACACACT